TCCCTCCCTTCCCTCTTCTCTTTTCGAACGTTACCCTCAGACTCGCTATCGATTCGCCGCCAGCGAACTCTCACGAGAGACTGAAAGGAGACAGAGCATATAGCTATGTGTTTCAATAATCCGACACAACAAGTCATACAAGAGCGTCTAACTGAATGTAAGAAGAAGCGAGTATTATATGGTATAATTACGATACGAGGCACGTAAGTATTAAGAAAGAAAGAAAGAAAGAAAGAAAGAAAGAAAGAAAGAAAAAAAAAGTAACAAAATATAAGAAAGTAGAAAAGAAAAAGAAATAAACATAAAAGAAAGAACATTGGGAGAGGAAGAAGAAATATATACAAATCAAACTAAACGAATATACGGACAAAAGAAACATTATATATAAGTGTATATATATAGATAAATAAGGATACAGTAAAAGATAGTAAAGATAGTTAGAAAAGAAAATGAAAAACGAAAAGTTTGTAAGGTAATAAAAACGGGAGTAGAAACTCTTAACCCTTTTTTCATTTTTATACAGAGTAGAAAGAACAAAAGACAAAGATAGAAAGATATATATATATATATATATATAGAAAGATAGAGATACAGATAAAGAGGAAAATAGAGATAATGTAGATTAAAAAAAAAAAAAGAATAAAGATTTGTTTGTATAGTACCTCTGCGAGCGAGGTTGAGACGACTTATTGCTGACTCTCTTTTCTTTCGGTTCGTTCAGGAGGAGACGTAACACGATTGGTGGTAGTAGTAGTAGTAGTAGTTGTTGTTGTTGGTAGTAGGTAGTTATAGTAGAAGTAGCAGTAATGGTAATAGTATAGTAACAGTAGCAGTAGCAGTAACAGTAGCAGTAGCAGTAGTAGTAGTAGTAAAGTAGTAGTAGTAGTAGTAATAGTAGTTGAGTAGCAGTAGCAGTTGCAGTAGCAGTATAGTAATAGTAAGCAGTAATAGTGGTGGTACTAGTACTAGTAGTTGTAGATGATAGCAGTAGTAGACAATAGTAGTCGACAGTGGTAGATAGTTGATTCGATAGTAGTGGTAGTAGTAGTAGTAGTAGTAGTAGTAGTAGTAGTAGTAGTAGTTATGTGTACGTATACGCGGCGCAGGACGCTGGATCGGCGATCAGCTTGCTCTAACTTGACGGCAGTAAAGCAAGACGAGAAACATTATATACTTCATCAGCATATTTGTGTTGTTATTTTTTTTTTTTTCAATAATTTTCTTATAATTTTGTTTTGTTTGTTAGTATAATAGTTGATTAGTTTTATTTTAATTAATATTATTGTATTTTTTCCAATTAAGAAGAAGAAGAAGATAATATGATAAAGGGGTTGAAAAAAGGGGTAGTGGTTGTCTTTTGGGTTCGAGTAATCGTGTTAGTATTAGTGCGATGTGTGAGTGTGAATGAATTTAATTATTTTTGTTTTTGTTTCAGGGCTGAGTTTGGTTTTGTTTTCTACATGTATTTATTGTTTTTTATTTTTCTCTAATCTTAAATTTAATTTCTACTTTTTTTTTTTTTTTTGTAAAATATTTTAAGGGTACAACTACGTATTTATATGTTTTTATGTCTTTTTTTTGTTTGTTTGTTTTTTTTTTTTTTTGAGAGATCGCACACAGCGACGGTGGATGGGGCTCTAGTATTTTTTTTTCTTTTTTCATCTTGTTATAGTCTTTTCTTTTATTTCTTTTTTTTTTCCTTACACTTATTTTGACTCTTTTAAAAATGAATAGTTGGGCAAAAGATGTGACAGACGACGTGTTTACACTCTCGTCCCTTACTCTTTTTTTTTTTTTTGTCGATGATTGGACACATTGCGATTTTTACAAATTTTGTTAAAAGGGGAGCATTTTCTTTGCTCTTTCTTAATTTTCATGTTCATTTTGTTTTTGTTTTTTTTCTTTCTTTTTAATTCTGATATTTACATATATATATATATATATTTTTTTTTTGCTTATGTTAATCTCTAATGTCACGAAAAATAAAGTGAAAAAAACGACATAAGTATAGAAGTAAGAAAAAAAATAGTGAAAGAAAATGTAAAAGAAGAAAGAAAGAATGAGAGAAAATGAGAAAAGAAAAGAAAAGAAAAGAAAAGAAAGAGAAGAAAAATTAGAGAAAAAGAGAAAAATATTATGTAGAAAACAAATTAATAAATAAATAAATAAACAAATAAATAAATAAATAAAATGAAGAAGAAAATAAAGGGTGGGAGGAAAAGAGTGAGACAGAGAGGGTATAAAGGATGAGTCGTCAAGACAAAGGATCTTTTTCCTGGCTCGTTTCGAAACCATTGCCACGATCCTTCTGTCTCGACCCTCCCCCATCGTCCTTCGTTAACTCTCACAGCTTTTGCTTCCTTTTTTTTTTATTTTTCTTTTTGCTATCCTTCAAAAGTTTTCTCTTTTAAACATCCGAGTATCTTTTTTGCATTAATTTTTTTTTTTCATCCAATTTTTAATCCGTCATTTCTTATATTCTCGATTTCTTTTTTAAGTTTTTTTTTTTTCAATCATATCATCGTGTTCCAATAATTATTAATTAGTATTATTTAATTACACTAATTCTCGGCTTGATCCATTGAGTAGTTTGAGCTTTTATGTTTATTTATTTTTTTTTTTTTGGAAAACACTGTGTGCACCTCTACGTACCGCTAGAGTCTAACTTTAATATTTTTATATTTTCATCTTTTTTTTTTTCAAATTAAGTTATTGGAAGAGAAGAAGAAGGATCGAGGAAAAGGGAAACAAAGATTTCAAATGGACGAGGAGTTTTACCATGAAAGAGACAATCGATGATGAATAAGAAGATAGAAGAATAAGAAGAAGAAGAAGAAGAAGAAGAAGAATGATAAGAATAAGAAGAGATAGAAGAAGAATAAGAAGAAGAAAAAGGAGAAGGAAAACGAATTAGAGAGAGAAAGATAGAGAGAAAGACAAAAAGATCGTCGATGACTCGATGAGGAAGAAGGCTGGTGTTTTCCGATGCTGTTGTTGCTGCTTGCTGATGAGGGGTGTGGGGTGGGAGAGGGTTAGGAGGAAGATGGATTTGTCGGGGTTGTTCAAGGAAACTTTTTCATATTAATCTTTTTTGTTGTTGTTGTTGTTGTTATTGTCAATCTATTACTCGAAGGATTGATATAGTTGGTATTTAGGTTTTATCTGATTGGTTAGTAGGTTGGTTGGTTGGTTGGTTGGTTAGTTGGTTGATTGGTTTGTTAGTCGGTTGTTGTTGATCAGTTATTTGTTTTCTTTTTTGTATAATTTTCTTTTTTTTCTGACTATTTGGTAAACGATCGTGGGAAGATGATCGATCTGTAGGTCTGTGCCTTGGCGATGTTGAAGATCCGCCACCTACGGCTTACCTTGCGAAGCTCTTGAATGCCGCTGATTGCGGATTTATGCAGAGCGGCACGCGCGACGTGTTCAGCTGCTCCGCTATAAATTTGTGCATTTCCTCTGTAACAGAGAAAGAAAAAGAACAAAAAACACAAAAATAAAAAAATCCTTTGACATTATTATTGTCGTTAACACTTTACCGACCACTAGTCTATTAATCGGTTGACATGAAGATGAACAGTCATTATCATTACACGAATAGTAATTTGTTATAAAAATTTGTGGCTAAGCGATCGGTAAATTGTTAATAAAAGTGATATTACTACACAGAAATGGCAAGAAATATTTTTATACGTTTATTTAACTTTGATCTCTTTTAAAATCGATAATTCGAATATTTTTGTTTTCGTTACTATTTGTCTTACCTTTCACCTGCTGCACGCTCGTCAATTTCCGCTCCCAGAGATCGTCGAAAGGATGAGTAGTAGCTGGCTCGAAATCCCCAGTGTACTGTCTCATCCCAGCACTCGTTGTGTAGCAACACGTGCACATGCACGAGTGATATCTAAGTCTTCCCTCGTCCAGATAAGGATGCGCAAGGGCATCCACCACGGTGATCCTCTTGTCCTGTGGGAACACCGAGAAAGTGCTTTAAGTATGTATCAGACGCGTCGATAATCGTGCTCTTGCCAGTGATGCCAACTTTGGCTAACATAAGTTCTAAGTAGTTATCTACATCTTTTCTTTCATTTAAAAATATCTTTGGGCAAAACAGTTTTATTAATGTTAATAATAATCGACGATGCATCGAATAAATATTTGTTTGAAATGTTGGACGCATAGCCTTGTGAATGATATGCTTTTTAAACAGCATGTTCTCAACGAGAAACTCCCCCCCATAAAGTTGTTTATCAAGCCCGTTACTACACCATCCTACCAACATGCTGTCACGCATATGGCTCCTAAGAGTCTTTATAATTTTTTTCTTCTTTTCTTTTCTCCCTCTCTTCAACCAGCACTTCCATTATAGCACATTTACTATTATACCGTAACTCTCCCACCCCCCATGAACATACGTAAAACCGATCTAAAGCACCGATCATCCATTAGTTGTAAAGAAATATATGCATTTGATCGTTAAATCAGTTGAAAGAGAGAAAACGAGGAAACCGATTTTCCTTGGAAAAAAAAAAAATTACTGAACACATCATTTGTCTCATGAACGTTGGTTGTTCTCATGCAGTTCGTGCAGTTGTTTTAGTTTTGAAGGAAGAAAATTGATCGTATACCGTGTAGATGTGGAAAAAGAATCAAAATGAAACGAGAACTTGTGCTAAAAGAGAAGAAAAGAGAAGGAGAACGAATGTAATCCAGAGTTCCCATCCCCAAATGAGAAAATAACCCCCCTGGCGTTCTCAGTAAGTAACATGTATAGAGAGAGAGAGAAAGAGAGAGAGAGAAACGCACACAGCAGGGAGAGAAGACTTACAGGATCGAAGACTAGCATCTGGCAGAGCAAATGGACGGCCTCGTGCGTCGCCTGGTTGCTGAGGGTATAAAGAGCCGTCAACGAGGGTGGTTTCGGTGCACGCCTTAGCATGTGAGTCCTTGCACCCTCGCAAGCGTACCTCATGTCCTCGAGGGTTGGGGTGCCTAGCAGTTCTGTGATCAATTCCAACTAAAAGAGAGAGAAAAAGATGAACAGAAAAATCGTTACATCCTAAACGACTGACTTTCTCCCATTGGTGACATACGCCATTTTGTTTTCCGCCATTTTCCAATAATGGAAAAAAAAGAAACAAAAAAAATCGTGATAAATGTAATAATAATAATAATAATTCGTTACCTGTTGCACAGGACTCTGTGCTTGAAAGAGAATCCGTCGGCGAAGAAGTTCGCCGAAAATGCAACCTACGCTCCAAACATCGACGGCTGCCGTATAATGTCGTGCACCCATCAAAATTTCCGGAGCACGATAATACTGCGTCACCACTTCCTGAGTCATGTGTTTGTTCTGGTCGGGCTCTTCCACGCGGGCCAATCCAAAATCACAGATCTGTGCACCGTTCATATGTAAATACGTGATAAAGATAAAAAGAAAAAAGAAAAAAGAAAAAGTCAGCAAAGGTGGCGTGTTATTTTCTCTTTTTTTTTTTTTTATGTTAACAGAATGATAATATATTTACTTTTAAAACGCAATTGCTGTTTACTAAAAGATTCCCTGGCTTGATATCTCTGTGCAGAATTCTGGCTGAGTGAAGGTACTTCAGACCTAAAATTTAAACAAAAACACACACAGACAAATTAACATTATTAAAAAAAAACAAAAAGAATACAATTATCTGCATTTCTATCGATATTTATTGAATTAACCTCTTTGGCACAGCTGAATGTTGCGCGGGGTTGTTTCTCTGTACAGCAGGGTTCAACGGACAATGCCGTTCTCTACTTGAGTATATTGATATATTTAACAATTTACTTTAATAATTAATAACATAATTGGGGGTATGATATATTTTAAAAGATGTCATCCGCGAAAGCCATTATAGTGGCGCGTCGTGCCTAAAAGGTTAATATTTTCAAAATATTGTTGGTCAATGTTATGTAAAAATATGAAGATCATAGACAATCGATTAATAATTTTATTAATAATAAAATACCACAGAAAAAAAATTGATATTGAAATAAATAATAGTATTAAGAGAAAAATATTCAGACAACGAGACAATATAAAATTTGTCGACCTCGATTTGAAAGGAAGAAATTATCATGGCGTGTGCTCGTTAAGGCTACTTCGGTGTAGCATTCAGAAGAGATTATCCGGCATTTAGCTTCCGTTAGGAACGTCTACGTCCTATACTATGATTGTGCGTCTATCTATCTATCTCTATCTCACTCTCACTCTCACTCTTAGATTGTATGTAGGTGTCTCTCCAGGTCTATATCTACATCCGTATTTACGTCTATGCCTATCTATGTCGCGTCGTTAGCTCCCTACTCGACTATCCCCTTCCGCATAAGCGAACCTTACCCGTACCCGTATAGCTGTAGCCGTAGCCGTAGCCGTAGCCGTCACGTTTAAAGGGAGTAGGACCCGATATAATCCCTTCTCTATTCACTTCGCACCCTAAACCCTATCCACCGTGCCGTTTCTTCAACCCCACACATTGTCCTGTGTTACACCCAAGGGTTAGCGAAAAAGAAAAAAAAGAAAAGGGGGCCCAGACATTATCGAATGAATTCACGTATTATAGCCCATTTTCGATCGCAAACTTATTATAAAAGAGAATACTTGAAATGTTCATATCATAATAATCGTGATACACTGAATATTCTCTAAACATTGTTAATATACATACCCACGTCCGTATACATATTACATGAAATCATTGAAATCAATTATTTCTCCATGGGTAGACCAATATAATTCCCGTATACGATTATGGTCTATATGATAACAATTCAACTCGGTTTACACGTCGATACTATGTATGTAATAGGATGTGAAACGACAGAATACAGTCTATATCGATGTACCATTTACCGTTCCAATCATCGATACACTTCGGCTATTGTAATCTCGCTTATAGTATCACATGTTACTCTCTCTCTTTCTCTCACACACACTCACYCACTCTTATCATTGTACAAGCGAATCCAACTAAATTTTGTGATATTTTTTGTTAGTTTTAACAGACGGTAAAACAATTTATTGATATGGAATATTAGAGGAATTTCTTTTTTCTTTTTTTTGAATATACGCAAAACGCAAACACAAGTATCGATATCAATGTTGATAGAGTTGCAAAAGATTTTACGTTTGACGGTTATAGATGGAAGCAAAGAGAAATAGAAATAGAAAGAGAGAGTAAGAGAGAAATAACACGAAGGGTAAGCTAGAGAGTTGGGTATAAAATAGGGGTGATATAGGGTGCAAGAGGAAAGAGAAGGATGACTGCTGCTGCTGCTGCTGCTGTTGGAGGTGAGGCTGCAATAAGAGCAGAAACATCAGTGGCAGATGAATGTGCCCGTGAGTCATGCTGCATTCAAGCAGCTCGACTTTTCTCTTTCTCCCTGCAATAAAACTTGCTAATATTACCGGGGTAATCTGCCCCGTGGGTGCGTCCGGTTAGGAATCTACCCTTCGGTAATTAAAGTCTCCCGCCGACGGCTTTCACTCACGATGAATTCCTCCTTCTTTTACTATATATACTTTACTTTTACTCTTCAACAGACCAACGAAGAAAAAGTATTTTCTTTATCCGGATCAACGGATTTTTCCTTTCTTAACTTTCTTCCTTTCTTTCTTTCTTTAAGTATTCTTCAGTATTAGACATTTTTTTCAATTATACTTTTCGTCGCGACTAGTTTTCCATTTTTCTTTTCTTTCTTTTCTCATATTATGTTCATTTTATATTAAAATTTATATTATACCGAAGGATTTAATAAATCTGTATATATATATATATAATGTGCGCGCGCGCGTGTGTGTGTKTGAATATTATCATTTTAATCTGAATCTTTCGAAGAGATTAGAACTTACGATAGAAGTTTAGTTACGATTTAATATCATATCAATAGTCTCGAAATCTATAAGATACGTAAATTACCGTAACACACACTGATATCGTATCCCCAAATGAATGAATAATATATACAATCGTGTTATGCGCGTTCCGTTGAATCGCTTTCAATTATCTCTCTAATTAGTCCAGTTTAATCCGAAGCTTACGCTTTGCGATTACACCAACACCGATATTCGGATTTATCTGCAATCCGCAAATTTGTACGAGAATCATTCATACTAATCTATTTCTTTGTTTACTCCTTTCCATCTCCCTCCCATTCTCCTTCCCCTTTGTTGATATTCTTTCATCGAGTTATAGATGAGTCTAATTATTCTGAAAACATTTAGCTCATCATCCTTTTATAATATATATTATATTTAACTAAAGTTCAATGACCATAAATGATTTGTATGGATAAAAAAAGCTTCTCGTCTTTGTTTACTATAGAGTTTGTTTGATGAAAACGACGACGACGACGACGACGACGACAACGACGACAACGACGACGATTGCACGCTAACTTCAAAATTATCTGCAAGGTCAACGAATCGTTCGACCAACGGTTTCTCCTCCTCCTCCACCACCTCCTCCTCCACTTACTCCTCGTTTTCTTTTGCTTCTTAAAATACACACCTGACTTTGCCCTCACCCATCAACGGCCTTCTCTTTTCCTCTTACCCTCTTACCTTCTTCTCCTTCTCTTTCGCGACGCGATCGATCAGCTGATTCACAAAAGAAAGCCGCTGCTCGCTCGCTCGTTTGCTCACTCGCACGCACATAGGTGTCTTTCAACCCATCTTAAAACTCTTCTTTTGTTCCTACTATCCTTTTACGAATTCATTAAACGAAAGTAGTTTTCTTGCGTGCTACGATTCATTTTTTTTTTTTAATATTATGTTGATTGTGTTGCATTTATTGGTGGTTATTATTTCGGTTAACAAATAATGCAAATAGGTTATTTAATTTATTTTTATATTATTTTTTTCATTATTATATATAATAAAAATGATTTAAAATCAAATAAAAATCATTCATAAAGTTGCATGTTTAAATGTCAATTTATCATAGCCATAGTTCATCGTACTTGATAGGGCGTACATTCACCGAACTTAAGGTTGATTCTTTTTTTCAGGGATGAGGAGAGATCGATAGTGTCTCCACCCACAATGAAAAAAAGAAAGAGAGAGAGAGAGAGAGAAAGAGAGAGATGAAACGAAATACGATAGCAAAGAAGGCGACGGCGGCAACGTACTCGCCGGACGTAGTCGTCGGCTGTGTACGAAAGTCAAGGTCAAAGGACTGACTGCGTCGCGTATTAACGAGCAAGGTCATCGCTACGTACAATCGCTTCTGCAGTGAAGTAGCCAGTACATTGTCCTTGATCAGAGGCAAACAACCAGACGACCAGGTAGGCAACCAGGTAAGCAACCAGGTAGGCAGGCAGGCAGGCAGGCGCAACCAGGCGCACCTGTCGTTAACCTCCTTGTCATTTGATTTCGAACGATCGAATGCATTCATTTGCATTAGAAATAATAGAATGCAGCCTATAAAACTCGTTTCTTTTAATTTCTATTTTTGCTTTGTTTTCTGCTATTTTTTGCTAGCATCAAATAAATTTTATTTTAAAAATAATTTCAACGCTTGTTGTCAACGCTTGGTTTCATCAAATTGAGAAATTTGTGGAGAAAGGAGGACGATCGATACACCAAGGACTTTATCTTCTCAACTTGCCAAGAGAAAGAGAGAAAGAGAGAAAGAGAGAAAGAGAGAGAGAGAGGAGAGGAAGGGTTTGTTAGACTCGATGTCTGACTAAGCACAGATGCCGACTACTTACAAGTAGTATTACTTACACTCGAGAAAGCTAATCCCTATCTAGAGATATTGTTGTTCGCTATGTTATTTCCATTTAAAAATGGTTACGGAGATTTATTCTGTACAATCCAAAAAAAGACATAAGGGTATTACATTTTTCTTCTTGATGTAATATAAGAAGTTTAAAACAAAAATATGATGATAGTTTAACGTTAGTGAAATATTTTTGTCGTTTAGATCATGGTATATCTTTCTCATAAACTTATCTCAAAACGTAATGCAGTTAATACGTGAGCATGCATATATATGTGAGAGTGTATACACATGCTAGAGAAATATATGTGTGTGTACATATTGGATGGCAGAATCGATGGCACGTTTCCGAGGACGGAAAACTCGTTAAGAGTGCGTTTGTACGAGATGGAAAGAGAAAGAGAAAGAGAAAGAAAGAGAAAGAGAAAGAGAAAGAGAAAGAGAAAGAGAAAGAGAAAGAGAAAGAGAAAGAGAAAGAGAAAGAGGCCGTTTAAATAAAACAAGCACGTCTCGCGAATACGAAACTTCGACCAACAACACAACACACGACAGCAGTTCGAGAAACAGCCAAGCAAGCTCGGTGATTCTCTCAGTGATTCTCTTACAGTGCAACTCTCTTGACGATTACGTCACAATCGGACTTCCACTTGAGTCGAATTGTGCAACGTGACTTTGTGATATGTAGACACACTGATAATAACGAGGAGGAACGATGATATCGACATTTCTTATGACAAAAGAATAAGAAATTTGATTTAAAAAAAAAAAAAAAAAGAAGAAATCAGTTTGATAAATTCTTTCGTTTGATCTATAAAAGAAAATCTAAAAAAAATAGTACGTAAATTTAAAAAAAATAAGA